TCCTAGCAAACTATTACAACACTCAATCTCTCTTCATTTCTTCCTTTTTTTATGTGAAAAAACTCCCATTGGTTGTTGATTTCTTGCATGTTATAACCAAAATGGCGTGGAGATGGCGTGCGTTTGGTGATACAGCAACAGTTGTTGTATGGACACTCTGAATGTCATTAATATTCCGGATTTTTAAGATTTTGCTTTGATATTATTTAAATATTTTTATCTGATTTTTGTTGATTTTTTAGATCCGTTTGAAAACAGTGGCGGCTGGAGGCGATTGGCTTCTTGGCGGTGGCTGATGGCTAGGGCTAATGTTAGAACCCTAGCTCATTTGGATTCTGATGCATGGCCTCCTTAGTTGGAATGATATTGAGTCACTTGAATTTAATTTTTGGGTTGTTGATATTTGTAAGACTTGGCCTGCAAAATTCAAACATTAGCAAAGGTTTATGTTTATTTTAATTTCAAATGTATTAATATTTGTTATTTATAATTATAAAATAAAATTATAAAATATGATATTAAAAGGTGTCATAACCATTTTTTTAGGTGAACAATATTTTATTGTTTTAAAAAAAAGTTATGATTTTTATTTTTGAAAAATGGGTGATTTTAAATTAAATCGGATAGAGTAGCTATCGATCTTTGGGTTAGGTAGGTCGAATACCTAAAAACATATTTTAAAAATAATTTTAAGAAAAATCATTTTTAAAACAAAAGCTGGTATGCTTTTACCAAAGATTCAATTAAATGGGTTCGAGAGTCGGTTACGTGTGGGGAGGGTGAGCACCCCCACAACGCCCAAATTTTGATACCTAAACGATTATACAATGTTTAAATATTGGGAATTACAAACTTCAAAAATATATTTAAATTATGATCTTGTTATTCATTTGAATTTATTTAAAAAGTGTGACCAATCTTCGAGAACGCACTTCCTTTGTAGTTAGGAGACTTTCCCACTGATTTCCCCTCACAAAAACGTTATTTCGCAATTTTTGCAAAGGTAAAATAAAATAAAATAAAATGAAATGAAATGAAATGAAATAAAAGTGAAAAGAGTTGAAAAATAATCAAAATAAATAATCGTGAAACAAAGAGAATTATCGAATACAAAACAAACAATTATGCGAAAAATCCTTGAAAAGATACCTTCCCTTTAGTTGGGAAATGTCTTCATAGATTTCCCTCATATTGAAATTTCCTTTTTTATTTTTTTATATTAGAAAACAATGATGATTTATAAAAATGGTGTAAATGAAAATCCAAATATGTACATAAATAAGGGACCAATATACAAGCTTCCTAAATCAACCACCAAGATTTAAAATACCATACAAACAAAAGTGTGAATAAATAAGACTAAAACATAAATATAAATATATCACAAGCAAGATCAATGACTAAAATAAAATGAAATAATAAGTTAAGATACTTGAGTATAAATACTTTAAAACTAAATGTTGGAAATAAAAAGGATTGAAATAAAATGCTGGAAAATTAAAGAGTAGAAAAATAAAGTGATGGAATTTAAAGTGCTAAAAAAAAAAAAAAACAGAAACAAATTGCATAAATTTAAAAGCTAAGGGTTAGTTTGGGAAATAAAAATGAAATGTTAATAATAACAGTAAAAAAATGAAAAAGTCAGTACAATAATAAGAACAAATAAATAAAAGTTAGTATGTTAGTTCGAATAAAATGAATGTTAGTATTAATAAGTCAGTGACAAAAATAAAAAAAAGGAAAGTAAAATGCCCAAATCAAAAATAAATAAAAACAAAAAATATAGCATATTAGTGACCAAATTAAAAATAACTAAACTGAAGTGTCGAAAATGAAATAAACAAAACAAAGAGATTCGGGGACTAAAATGTAAAACATTGTAATGTATCAGGGGGTTTATCATAATTTTATGCAAGCAATTCAATGAACAGATTATAAAAAAGCGTTAAATGTATAAGGGCGTAAGTGTGATTTTACGCAAAAGTTTGGTGGCCAAGATGTAAAACACGACAGAAATTTGAAAGATCTCAGCGCGATTTTACCAATTTTTAGCATATATATTTCACATTTTGAGGGAAAACCCCAAGCCCCTTTTGTATCTTCCTCTCCCCTTTCTCTCTACCCTCTCGCCGGCCTCGCTCTTTGAAACTACCAAAACCGGCCACTCCGACGAGACCCCCTTTTACCTTCTATTCCACCTAGACTCTAAACCAAAGTCAAAAAGGATCTGAAAATGTTTTCCCCTCCTAAACCAAACTACATCGAAACCCGAGTTATCCCAACGCTGTCGTAGATCGATGGCTTTCACCTCTCGACCACCACCAACGGTGGCCGACCAAACCCCAAAATTGCCCTAAACACCTAATAATTTCAACTTTCTTCTACCCTTAACCCAAACTAATATTAAAACGGCCGAATGAAGCCCCCCAACAAAGGTAAAACTCAAATATATTTTATATATATTTAGTTCTTCCGAAATATAAAAATGCATGTAAAAAAATGAAAATACCTTGGAGAAATCGTTGCTTCAAATCTGATTTTTTTGGTACTTTGTATTGCTTTTTTTCGAATTTTTCTGTCTACCTTACATTGGTTTTTTGGGGCATTATATACCCGATTGCATGAAAATAAAAAATATTTCTTTTACCCTTTGAATATGCCTTTTTCACGCGTTTGAAATGGTAAAACCGGCGTGTTTGACGCTGGTAAAATCGATCGGCCAGGGCATTTAATTCCTCGAATTTCTTACGATTCTGCCTCGGCGTTGCCAAATTGTGTGTAGGAAAGTCAAGGGTGACGGTGGCTGGTACTAGGGTTTAGAAATCCTTAGCTACTCTTTCTTTCATGTGGGCTCCTGCCCATTGGGCCTTGGGTCGGGTCTTATTCTGGGTCAAACACGACCCAGTTAAAATACAGGGTCAATAGCTGCCCCTCTTTATCCATTGTCGTGTAATAGGAATATGACAAATATCAAAGGCCCTAATTTTGATCAACCTATCTTCTTATTTTGATGATGAGGAAATCAGATTAATCTGGAAAGTTTGGTGTTAAAGGCGATGTTGCTCATCCGTGTTGAAGAGATCTGGTCGCTTTTAGATAAATTGTTTGTTGAAGATGACATTGTTCCTTTGCATTGAGCAAATCGAGTCAATCTGGAAATGATTTGGAGATAACACGATTCCTTCATGTTGGGGAAATCTTATTCTCTCAGGATGACACTGCTCATTCGCGTTGAGGAGATCGGGTCAATTTGATGTTGAAGATGACACTGCTCATCTGTGTTGAAAAGATCTGGTCATTTTTAGGTAAATTATTTGTTGAAGATGACATTGTTCCTTCGCGTTGAGGAAATCGGGTCAATTAGGAGATAATTTAGAGACAACTCTGTTCTTTCGCGTTTAGGAATTTCGATTGTCTGAGGATGACACTACTCCTTCGCATTGAGCAGATCGGGTCGATGTTGTTCCTTCGTTTTGAGGAAATTGGGCCAATCAAGAGATGAAATTGGAAACAATCATTGTTCCTTCGTGTTTAGGAAGTCTGATTGTCTGAAGACGACGCTGCACCTTCACATTGAGGAGATCGGGTCAACCTGGAGATAAATTGATGTTGAAGATGACACTAGTCATCCGCGTTGAAGAGATCTGGTCGTTTTTAGGTAAAAAGATGATATTGTTCCTTCACATTGAGGAAATTGGGTCAATCAGGAGATAACTTGGAGACAACATCGTTCCTTCACGTTGAGGAAGTTTGATTATCTGAGGATGACACTGCTCCTTCGTGTTGAGAAGATCGGGTCAAAACTAACTTTAACATATTCTGTTCAAAAAAATCAAATACCATGCATGTCATATGCAACATGTCCTAAAGATGATCTAATGTGAATGTAATGTATGAATGTTCAGTGTGCATCAGGTTTCGAATCACGAAACTTCATCGGCTTTCTACAATCCATACTTGATTAAAACTGTCGAGGTTTTCTACTGCCATTGTCTGGGATTTCAAATGTGATTGCATTGCCAACCCCCTTAATTGACAAAAGGTCAAATTGAATGGGTAAGGTTACATCTGATACAAACTCTGATTTATGATCTCTTTTGATCTTTCTTGGGATAGTGGAACCCAAATAAGATGGCTCTTTTGATTGATCTCTTTTACTTGTGCAAACTATTTTTCTGATGCTCCGACCGATTAAAGCAATCCTGTTCACATAGGCTTCCTGGTGGACACTTATTTTGAAATTCATGTACCCTCGCACTCTTCTTTGAGTAAGGCATAATAATCCTTCTTTTTATATAATACCATTATTAATCAAAATTTTATATGTATGATGCTTATGAAAATAAGGTAACAAAAATCATCCAATTGATTTCATTAAAGAGTGGTAAAAAGGTATATATTTTTTGGATGAAGATTTCTTTTAACGAAAGAAAGAAAAATATTACAAAAAGAACAGAGATTAGGTATACCCAATAAGTGCGTGAGTCTTTCTATCATTTTTTCCTAAGTCTCTCCTGAAACTTGACATGTGTTTAGAGGATTCAGATCATACTAAAGATGTTTGAGTAAGAGAACCTCTCCCCTAACTGTCAATGTTATGAGCCTAACCCCAAATATTCGAGTTATCTCTGATGGATTTTCAACTCGAATCCCTCATTTGGCTTTAAGACATCCATTTTGGGTTTTTGTCTTGATCCCCTGTTCCATTTTCTTCTCTTTAGGTGTAGTATCTCTTGACTGAATCAGAATTTATGGGATTAGACAACTCATCTCCATCCATTTCAGTCAAAATCAAAGCTCATCCTAAAAATGCCTTCTTTACGATATAGGGGCCTTCCCAATTTGGCATCCACTTCCCTCGGAAGTCTTTTTGCATGGGTAAGATCTTTTTTTAGTACCAGATCTCCTTCATGAAGTTCTCGAGGTCTAAATTTCTTGTCATGAGCTCGTATCATCCTCTTCTGATACATTTGGCCATGACAGATAGCTCTCAATCTTTTCTAACCAGTTAAATTCAACTGATCAAATTTGTTCTGAACCCTCTCAACCTCTTCTAACTTGAGCTCCATCATTACTCTAAGAGAAGGGATTTCCACTTAAACTGGTAAAACTGCCTCTATCCCATAGACAAGTGAGAATGGTGTTGCCCCAGTCGATGTTCGGACTGATGTGCGGTAAGCGAGCAGAGCGAAAGGTAGCTTTGCATTCCAGTCCCTATATTTTTTAGTCATTCGGGCGATAATCTTTTTGATATTTTTGTTTGCTGCTTCTACTGTACCATTCATTTTTGGGCGATAAGGAGCTGAATTGTGATGCTTGATCTTAAATTTTGCACATATTTCCTTCATCAGGTTGTTGTTCAAATTCAGAGCATTATCTGTGATGATTCTTTCTAGGGTTCCATATCTACAGATAATTTCCCTTCTTAAGAATTTGCACACTACTCCTTTCGTGATATTGGCATATGATACAACTTCAATCCACTTGGTAAAATAGTCAATAGCTACTAGGATGAAACGATGCTTGTTTGAAGCCTTTGGTGAGATTGCCCCAATGACATCTATGCCCCACATTAAAAATGGCCACGGCATGGTCATTACATGAAGTGGTGAAGGAGGAACATGTATTTTATCACCATGGATTTGACATTTATGGCATTTGCGTGCAAAACTGATGCAATCCCTCTCTATTATTGACCAGTAATAACCAAACCTCATAATTTGCTTGGCCATTGTGAAATCATTCACATGTGTCCCACAAATTCCTTCGTGGACTTCTTCAAGTATCTTCTTGGCTTCAACTTTGTCCACACATCTCAGCAGTATCTAATTTTTTCCTTTTTTGTACAAAACATCTCCATCAAGGACATACCCCATAGCCAATCTTTTTAGTGTTCTTTTATCATTTTCAGTAGCTTCAGCAGGGTAAGTTCGACATTTCACATATTGAAGAATATCATAGTACCAAGGGAAACCATCTTCCTTATCCTCTTCTTCAATATTACAACAGTGTGTCAGTATTTCTCTTATACTCATTCGAATGGGCATCATGCGAGCTTCATCATTGACTTTGAACATTGAAGCTAGTGTGGCTAAGGCATCCGCCATCTGGTTTTCTTCTCCCAGGAGATAACTAAAAGTAATCTCCTCAAATCCTTTTATCAGATCCATGACTAGATTCTTGTACTCTACCAATTTAGAATCTCTAGTCATCCATTCTCCACGAAGTTGATAAATAACTAAGGCAAAATCTCTGAACACTTCTAGGATTTTGATTTTGCGCTCAATTACAGCTCGGATCCCCATGATACAAGCTACATACTCAGCCATGTTGTTTGTACATTCAAAAGTGAGACGATTGGTGAAAGGATAGTGATCTCCTTCAGGTGAAACCAATACTGTCCCAATTCCATACTCAACAGCATTTGATGCACCATCAAAATTCATCTTCCATATTTCCTCTTTTGGAGCTTCCTCTTATTCTATTGTATATATGGTCATTAAGTCCTCGTTTAGGAATTCGAATTTTATTGGTTCATAGTCTTTCAGTGCCCTATTTGCCAAAAAATCTGCAATGACACTACCTTTCACGGCTTTCTGGCTCACATATACCAGGTCGAATTCTGCTAATAGCATTTTCCATCTCGCCATCCTCCCATTCAAGATTGATGATTCCATAATATACTTCAAAGGATCCAATCTTGATATTAACCACGTGGTATGGTATAATAAATATTACCTTAGTCTTTTCGTAGTCCAAACCAAGGCACAACACAACTTTTCGATGTGAGAATATCGGGTCTTGCAGTCAGAAAACTTTTTACTTAAATAGTAAATTGCTCGTTCTTTCTTTTCCTATTCATCATGTTGTGCTAGAGCGCATCCCATTAAATTTCCAAAAACGGTCAAGTATAGAATTAATGGTCTGTCAGGAACTAGTGGCAATAGGACTGGAGCATTGGATAGATAATGTTTGATTTTGTCAAAATCTTCCTGGAAGTTATCGTTCTAGGTTCCTGGATTCTTTTTATTCAACAAACGGAAGATTGGATTGCATTTCTCTGTTAACTGAGATATGACCTAGCAATATAATTTAACCTCCCCAAGAATCCTCATACTTCCTTTCGTGTTTTAGGGGCGGTAATTCTAGGATTGCCTTGACTTTATCAGGATCTATTTCTATCCTTTTCTCGCTGACCACAAACCCGAGCAACTTCCCTGAAGTGGCCCCAAAGGTGCACTTGGCTGGATTAAGTTTTAACTGATATTTCCTTAATCTCATTAACAACTTCTTGAGGACTTGAACATATTCTTCTTCAGTTTATGATTTGGAAATCATATCATCCACATACACTTCTATTTTTTGTGCATGATATCGTGGAATAAAGTAACCATAGCTCGTTGATACATTGTCCCTGCGTTCTTTAGCCCAAAAGGCATCACTTTATAGAAAAATGTGCCCTACATGGTTACAAACGTAGTTTTTTCCATGTCGTCCGGATTCATTTTTTTTGGTTGTATCTTTAGAAGCCATCCATAAATGAGAAGAAAACGTGCCTTGCAGTGTTATCGACCGATGTATCAATGTGAGGGAGCGGGAAATTGTCTTTAGGACTTGCACGAATAAGATCTCAGTAGTCAACACACATTCAGACCTTTCCATCCTTCTTTGGAACCGTCACAATATTTGCTACCCACTCGGAGTATTTGGACACTTGTAGGAATCCTACATCGAACTGTTTCTTCACCTCATCTTTTATTTTTAGCAACATATCTGGTCTCATTCTCTGAAGTTTCTGCTGAATCGGCTTGCATTCTGGCTGTATTGGCAGCCTATGTACCACAATGTCATTTTCCAAACATGGCATGCCTTGATAAGACCATACAAACACATCTTTGAATTCATGCAAGAGATGTATAAGATCCTCTCTTGATTCTCCTGAGAGCGAGGTACCAATCTTGACCTCTTTCTTATCATCATCTGTCCCCAAATTTATTGTCTCAATCTTCTCTTGATGGGGTAAAATATGCTTATTTTCTTGCTCAATCAATCTGACAAGTTTAGGATTTAACTCGAATTCCTCATCATCTTTATAACATTTAGATTCCTCTAGACAGATATCATTTTTGAAATCGATTCTTGGTTCAAAAATGCCTTTATTTGTGCAATTGATATCTGGAGACTTGCAAAAGAAGATGAATATGTTTGGGAAAGAGACAAGAATATTTATTTTATTTTTGTTGAAGGCTAAATGACTATCATAGAGAACAAAATAAATGTTTTCCATGAAAAAAAATTAAGTGAAATGCATCATTTTATTAAAATAAGGATTAATAATAGTACGCCCTTACAGTGGATCCCTATTACTTTCAAGCCAAAGTAACAAGGTTGTTATCATGTATTACTCTGATATTTGTTTGAAAAATATAGAGAGCTCCTCAACAGTATAATTATTCAGAATGTATCCAGGAGGGCATGCTCGAATTAATGCCAGAGAGTATTCCGCACTAGTGTCATTTGTCACAACATTGATGCTGAGATCTTCTATCAGGGTTTCAACTTCAATAGCTCCTTCTTTAATCCCTGGGAGCTCTAATGTATTCATCAAAAAAACCCTAGAGGTGAAAGTCTGAGTGATGGGCGGTATGACGATAGGTTCCCCGAAGACATCCTGTCCATGTGCCCTGGTTTTCTTTCTATCCCTCAGCTTCTGGGTATCTTTAATGTATCCTATCCCGAAACAATTTCTCTTAGGTATGGGGCTCAATCCCTCAGTGATTCCTTGCAGCTCCTTCCCCAATCTTTTCCCAACTATAGCTCTCGGGCTAAAGTTTCCTTCAACTACATCTTAGTATTCTTTGAGAGTTGGGGAGATGGTAATTTCTTTCCTTCAGGGACAAAGGTGGCGTTGACGAACTCCAGGGATTAGAATGACGACTTGAGTGTTCTTTCATTTACATCTACATATGGCATATCAGTGGTGATAGAGGCTATGATTTCCTCTTCATCTTTGATGGTTATCAAAGTCCCTTCCATGATAAATATGAGTTTCTGGTGCAGTGAAGAAGAAACCGTTCCATTCATATATATCCATGGTCTTCCAAGTAGGCAATTATAATTCGGGTGAATGTCCATGACCACGAATTCTACCTCAAATATTACAGGACCTACCCTTAGAGGGATTATGATCTTTCCAATGATGCTCTTTTCTGTGCCATCAAATGCTCGGACAGTATTGCCACAAACTTTCATGTGTGAGGTATCTACTGAAAGTCGATTTAAGGTTTCCCAGGGCATAACATTCAATTCTGATCCATTCTCTATTAAGACTCCAGATATGATAACCCCTTTACAGTGAACAGTTATATGCAGTGCCTTATATCTACCCTTGCCATCTTCGGGTATTTCGTCATCATAAAAATAGATAAAATTGTCGGCATTGATGTTGCTTACCAGCCTATCTAAGCGTTCCACTGGTATGTCCTTGGCTGCGAATGTCTCATTCAATACCTTCATCAAAATGTTTCGGTGTACCTCTGAGTGCAGAAGAAGAGACGGTATTGAGATAAGTGCAGGAGTTCTATGGAGTTGTTCCACAATGTTATATTCACTATGCTTCAAGAATTTTAGAAACTCTTGAGCATGCTCAATTTTGACAGGTTCATTCATCTTATCTTCATTTTCATTAATTACAATAGCTATATCCTTTTCTGTTCAACCGAGAGCATAACACCTGCCACTTTTAGTGAAACCTCCAACCTCATCAACTTCACATTCCTTGTGTTCGGGAGTGCTGATTTGACATGAGTAACTCCATGGAACACGTTTGTTATCTTTGTAAGCAAATGGTACCAGTGTTTCTATCACTACTCTCGGTACCGTCTTCCCCTTGTTCACCTCGTAACTTGGCTTATATATAACCAGAACCGGCTTTTTCATCTTTGCGTCGATATTTTCTGAATTGTCCTCAGAGGCATAAACATCTCATTCATTCTTTGTCGGTTCTTCTTCAAAGAATTGCATTTCCTTCTCATCCATCATCTTATGTATTATATTTTTGAATTCATGGCAATCTTGGATCTGATGGCCATCATCACAATGGTATTCACGGTAATTTTTTTATTTTTTCCCCACTGATCCTTTCTTTGGACTCAACAATCCTCTCATGATCATTTGTTCATACACCCATCTTAACGGTGTCTTTACTTCTTCAATGTTTTCTTTTACCTTACGACCTTCATCAACAGCATTAACTCCTTGATTTTGATGATTTGGGAGCAGGTTCGCGGCAATGCATGGTGCCTCAGAGTCATTAAAAGACACGACCTTTGTCCTGATCAAGTCTTCAACCACCCTTTTGAAGGAAATGCATTTTTTGATTAGGTGTCCTCGAATATTGGCATGATATTCATATGTTTCATTCTCGTTATACCACTTAGAGAAAGGTCGTTCGAGCGGATCCACATACTTTGGTGACACCACATGTGATTTGAATAATCCTTGGAAAAGTTCATTGTATATCATTGGGATAGGTGTGAAAGTTGTTTTTTTAGTATTGTTTTCGCGCTTGGTTGTTCCTTGAGGTGTAGAATTTCCAGCTTTCAGTTTATTTATTGAGAAGTTCACATTGTTTACCTCTCCTTCCTTTTTCTTCACAAAGGGCTTCTTCATTGAGTTTTGGCCACCGACAATTTGGCCTTTCTTCAATGCCCTCTCGATCATTTCCCCACACATAACTATGTCGAAGAAACTTTTCATGGCTACCCCCAGCATGTGATCAATTTAAGGGGATTTCAACGTATCAATGAACATGGTTATTAATTATCTTTCAACCAACGGGGGGTGGACTAGGCAGCAATATCTCTCCAGCATTGTGAATATTGACGGAATCTCTCATTGTTCCTCATCTCCATATTCTGGAGAGTAACCCTATCGGGCATCATGTCAATGACATGTTGATATTGCTCTTTGAAGGCATTTGCTAAGTCTTTCAAATACCATATTTTAGCCCGGGTCAGTTAGTTGTACCACCTTGTGGTAGATCCTGTCAAACTTTCCTGAAAGCAATGTATCAGGAAACTATCGTCTTTAACGAAGCCATTTATCCTTTTACAGAACATTGTTAAATGTACAATGGGACATGTCTTTCCTTCGTACTTCTCAAACTCCGGCATCTTAAACTTAGGTGGTAAAACCAAGTCGGGAACCAAACTTAGCTCTACCGCGTTCATCCCATCTTGGGAGCCTTGTCCCCCCATCTTTTTAAAGAAATCTTTGCACCAATCTTTCAGATGCTCAGGCAATTCATTCTTCATTTTCTTGATTTCATCAAAATCTGGTACAATATACTCGTTCAGATTATTTTAAGGATTTGTGACAACTATTTGAGCTTTAGCAGTAGAGGAACCTATGGGATGCCCAGTAAGCTTTTCAGGTGGAATGACCA